CCATTCTCCTTCTAGTACACCATGGGCAACCTGCTCTGGCCATTGCCCTGAAATGTCCCAAACCTCTTATCTAAACCACATACATTCTGTAAGACCCTGCTCCATAGCCACCTCCTCCAGGAAGCCTTCCTGGTTCAACAGTTCCAAGCAAGTCTCCTCTGAACTCGGATTCCTCCATCCTGTGGCCCTTCATTAAATGCCACCTTGATAAGGATGTTGTGTTGCTCTTCTATACTCATATTTCACTGTGCTTTAGTGCATCTCTGGTTTGACAAGGCCAGAGGCAGGCAGATCAAGGTCAGTAGGCCATGTCTGACAGGCTGCTTGCAGGAATGAGTCCCAGAGATCAGTGATCAAGGAGCCATCGGCACAAAACACTGTGCCAAAAACTATAGCCTCGAGGGCAAGGAAGCAGGAGGTGGGGAGCTGGGAAAGCAGACAGGTCCACGCTGAAGAGAGACTAGAACAGATGGCAGAGGAGTGTGGGCCATGGAGCCAGCAGCCGAGGAGCAGTGGGGCGGGCCAGGTGCAGGGCTGGGCGGCAGTGCAGGCTCCCTGGCCGGAACGGGGCTCCTCATGAATCCCACATTCTCTCCCTGTGGCGTGGCTGGCCGGCCGCCACTGCCTGGGCACAGAGCCTCTCCAGATCAGCCTTCAGATCCTCAAAGGAGGGCTCCTTGAAGTCAGGGACCACAAATGCACTTCTCATCCCCACACTGCCGGGGCCTTAAGAGACTGTGCGGAATGGACGCGTCTCTGAAAAATCTCCATTCTCTCCTCCTCAGCTGTGGTCACCCACTTTCTGGCTGTCTCGGCCACACCTAACAACCGAGGCTCCTCCATCTGTAATATCTGCATGTTGACTGCTGGAGCATCCGAAAGGAGAGTTCCCTTCTCTGCTTTCTGAAGACAGACAGAAAATAGTCTATTTCATTTTTTAATCTACTTAAATATTTGTGTGTCCTGCCAACGGCCCACAGAAGGGCACTCTTCAGCCTTAGTGGTGTGTCCAAAACTCGTGTTGGATTCTTTTTTTTTTTATTATTGATTTCAGAGAGGAAGGGAGAGGGAGAGAGAGAGAGAGAGAGAGAGAGAGAGAAACAACAATGATGAGAGAGAATCATTGATCAGCTGCCTCCTGCACGCCTCCTATTGGGGATCGAGCGATCGAGCCGGGCATGTGCCTTTGACTGGAATCGAACCCAGGACCTTTCCAGTCTGCAGGCCGACGCTCTATCCACTGAGCCAAACCGGCTAGGGCTCATGCTGGATTCTTGAAGAGCTCATGATCTCTCTTATGAGATTGCTCTTCTGTGCCTATGCACCCCCCACCCACACACCCCAAAGGGTCCTCAGCAGCATCTCACATAGCACAGGGAGGGCAGACTGCCAGCCGCAAACAGACTGTGCATTACATATAGACCATCCTTAGGTACCGTCTTCACTTCCGGTGACCCCACGGCCTTGGCACTGACCACCAGGGATGCCTGCGTCATGCTGGACCCCAGGCCTAGGAAAGGGCAACTGAACTCCCTATGGTGGAGAGAGAGATCCTGCCCCCTGATGGCTCATGACTGGAAATGTGGGGAGGCCTCCAAGCCGAGCAGAGTGGCTGTGAGGCCCAGCGCCCAGCTCCACTCTCTGGGCAGTGCCACCAATGCACTTCTCATCCCCACACTGCCGGGGCCTTAAGAGACTGTGCGGAACGGATGCGTCTCTGAAAAGTCTCCATTCTCTTCCAAGCTGCCGTACAAAATGGCACTTATTTGATCAACACTTTTTACATCATTGTACTCTCTGCTCTTTGGTAATTTCCCAATGTAAGGCTCATCTCATCCACTCAAGGGCAGCACTGGGCCACCCTCTGGTTTCTCATTTCCCACTGAGCTCAGTCCCGGTGGCTAGCTGGAGCTTGAGAAATAGGATCCTATGCGTTTAAATCTACTCCATCTTTTTTTCCAAAAGGGATCTGAGGTGTCTTAAAAATTGCATGATATAATCTAATAAAAACAGATGAAAATATCCCCCTGAAGGGAACACAAGAAAGGAAGAGGAAACGAAGCCAGGGTCAAGGACACGCACAGAAACGGTCAGTTTTGCAAAATCACTGAAGTGGTTACAAATATAGCTCTGGGTTTCCTAGGGGCTGAAGCAAAGAAAGAATCATGGTCCGTAATGAAATTCCAGGTACGCAAATATGAAAGAAATAACCAAAAAACCAGAAACCCACCAACTGCTCAAGAGAAGCTCAGTCTTTGCTGGGTGCTCTGGGATAATTTCCTGGGCATAAATTCCTACAAGTGGGATTTTTAAATGAAAGGCCTTATAGAATTTTTAAAGGCCTCTGATGTGTACTGCCAATTGCTCTCTTGAAAGGTTGTCCTATTTACAGTCCCAGCAGTCTGCTCTCTTCCCTACACTGGGGATTTTTTTTTTTTTTTTGGTGGTGGTGGTGGGAATTCTTTGCAAATGTGATATATACAAATTCAGTGTTTTCATCCGTAATTCATGAAAGTAAATTATGCTGAATGTTTTTGATATCCATTCTGAAACTATACATAGGACAAATTGCCTACCTTGTATCTTTATTGTCTAAATTGTCTTTCTTTTAATCCTCACCCAAGGATATTTCTTCCATTGATTTTTGTGTTTTTTTATTTTTTTTTAGAGAGTGGAAGGGAGGGAGGAGGGGGAGAGAGAGAGAGAGAGATCGATTGGTTGCCTCCTGCATGTTCCCAACTGGGGGTGGGGGTCGAACCTACAACCGAGGTATGTGCTCTTGACGGGAAATCGAACCCTTGACCCTTTCACCTGCAGGCTTATGCTCTAACCACTGAGCAACTGGCCAGGGCTATATTGTCTTTTCTCTCTCTTTTGGACTGGTATCTGGAAAGAGCTCTTTTTCTATGAAGGATATTGACTCTT